TTTATAAGGTAAAAATAATAAAACAAGGTCTTTGTCTGCAATGATTAGACATGTTTTTTATTATTGTCAATAGTGATTATCTCAATTTCGGCTAAAAGAATTGACAAAATCCTACACACTGTGCCTTTAATGGTGCATTACCGCCACCAACTGGTAAGGAGTGTGGATCAAAATTCTTTACTTAAAAAAAACTAATATATTGAATTTTAGATTACTACGTTGGTCTTTATTTCTAATCTCAAATTAGCATGAATTTAAACGGATATGAAAACATTTACAAAAACCAGAAATATATACTTAGGTGTAATCACTTGGTGTTCAAGTCAAGTCTCTATTCTGACTTCTCCGGTTGTCGGGATCAGTTTTATTATTTTTAGAAACATTTGAAATTGTCCTTACTGCTAAAATAAGTGGTTGAAGAAAATCCGTGCAGTATTAGACGGTGTGTGTTTCCTCTGAGGCTCGGTGCTAAGCAGCAAAGTTAGCTCACGTTCGCCGTTTTTAATCTTCGGAATATAATTATCGTGGTTCTTTCATTCACGAGCAGTTAATGGAGCGGAAAGCTGAAATTATAACTTATATTATAAGTCATTGAGAAAGCTGGTTTTGTTTTGTTTTTCCATTATCAAAATGGCGCAGGCAGTCTCGATATAGAAAGTGTGACATCATGTGGGATTTATCTATTCAAAATGGCCACCACAGCCAATCAAATGCTTCCAACACAAAAATGGATATAACTCAGTAAATTTGAAAGATAACGAGCTAAAATTTGGTGTGGTAGTAGCTGAGGGTCATTCTCAACACATTGGTGTAAATTCATAAACTGTGCAACATCTCTGGAAAAAGGTGGAAAGTGCATTTCTTCAAGAAGACTTGAGCGGCCTGCCTCGCTGTGTGCTTTCTGTGGGCGTTTCTCACCCTTTGTGGTAGATGCAGAGGCAAGGCAGCCTGGCGATGGTGTCCCCCTGCTCCAGCTCGTCCAAACAGATGGCACATTCCCCAGAGTCTCTGGACAGGATGTCCTCTGAGAAAGACAAAACGGACATGGACAACATGAGCCGAGAACTGCACCGAATGCTCACGTCACTGAATCTCGCACAGCCATCGGTTCAGTCTTTGATACCAGAACACCTGTTGTCATCTGAACCCAGATAAGAATTAAAAAATAATAATCCAGCTTCTAAACAGGCTGTGCCATGCATGAAGCATAGCTCAAATTTTACCAAAACCATCCAGCGTCCTATTTTTTATTTTTATTTTTGCATAACAGTGAAGAATAAAAGCAACAACCACAAATGTATTCCACATCTGTACGCCTGTGATAAGATAAGTGACCCTGTCCAGCAGACGGGCCGCATTTGCTAATTTATCAGCAGCACGCACACTCCTGCGGGTGTGTGTGCACGAAAAAGAGTTCTACTTTTGTTCGCACACATGCAGGATCATTGACGTGTCGCACAAAATGGCTGTAGTGACGACTGCAGGTCTGCCATTGTTCTCCGCAGACAACATCTGTTTTATTTCTTTCCTGTCTGGGCAAACATAGACATGTGTGTAAGCATTGTGTGTGTGTGTGTGTGTGTGTGTGTGTGTGTGTGTGTGTGTGTGTGTGTGTGTGTGTGTG